AATTGGAAACTCTTAACGATTCAATAGCATAAAGTTAGGAATTCAATATATTTTATGATCTAAAATATGAAATCTCAATATAACATGGCGAAGTTACATACGAAGGTTCTCAATATATATATTATTGACCATTATAAATTATAAATTGGCCATTGATTGTGATTTATACCGTTAACTGTTACGTAACGTTTGCTTCTCTGTTAGTTCTCGCACTATGTGTTAAATAATTCAACATTAAATAAAAGTATAGAATAACTTGTTTATATTAATAATTATGAAATGTATAGTGTGTATATAGTACGAGTAATTATTTATTGTGACATCGGTTTTAATTTATAATCATATTTTTTATTATAATTTATTTAATTTAAAATATATGCTTTCCATCACAAATTAGTAGTTTCTTTCTCATGTACATCATACTTCTCCGTTAGCAACAGAGTCGTCTATGTAACTTCTTTCTGGGGGAATTGTAAATAAAAAATTGTAAACCTATAAATTATCACTGCCTGTATGTCTGTCCTTTTTTTTAATCTTGAGAACGGTGTTAGCTTAGGGGTAGGAAGTCCCGATTAATTAGATCATTTCAATTCAAGAATTTTTCCCCAGAATGGAGTTATATAAATGACTGGCATGACTCTGTTGTTATGAGGAAAAGTATGATGTACAGGGGCAAGACACTAATAATTTGAGATCAAGAGCATATATTTTAAATTAAATAAGTTAAAAATACGATTGACAAGTGCAACCCAGCAAGATGTAATAATAATTTTTGCTAATTTTTTCTGTTATACCTACCCATTTTTTTAAAATGCGAATAGTGCCTTGCTCATTTTTCATAGCCTCAGCTTTTGCACTTATGTAACCAACAGCTGTTTTTATACAGATAATACCCACCAATTTTTCTTTATCAGTCCTACAAAACTTATTCTTTTGCCTTCAGTAACATATTAAACTTGTTCTTTTTTTCTGTGTTTAAAACATTATCGAATTCGTCTTTATATACAAAAACATTAGCAATGTTTAATTTTAAAAATAATTTAAAATATCCAATTAAATAACTACCACAACAATTTTTTATGCTTTACATTTTAAAAATATATTACAGTACGATAGGTAAACACTCTAAAGAGATGGAGCGAAAAATAAACACGAGATAAAATAAAAAAAAATTCTTTGTGAATAATTAATGAGTGGTAGGTAGATAGATGACGTCGTATATGACGTGCGTTACCTAGTGACGGGGTGAACGAACTCTTAAAATCAACAAGTTGCAAACGTGGATTGAAAATGATCTAGCGCATCATTTCAACGTATTTGATGCTATATAAACTAAATATAATCCTATTAAATATCGAGAAATGAGAAATTTAATTATNTATTTTTATTATTTATTATTAGATATAAATTTAAAAAAAAAAGAGAATTATATGAATTAAAAATTTAAAATTAAAGTTTATTTTAAAACTGACGGTTAGACATACAAACATGGTATGGAAGTTATTAAATATAGAGAAATTACACATGTTACGATAATAATTACGCTTTGGTTATTTAAGATTTGCGTGACGTTTCGGATGAAATTATCGCGTGATTTACATACATAACATGAGTAAACATTGACCAAAAATTTTTGGATTTTTTTTTTCCTCATTCCACTTTTAATTCCCTTCGAGCCAGTTTGCGATGAAACTATTTTAATTGTTAAAGAAAAGAAAGAGAAAGTTAAGTATGACCATTTAAAACAACAAAGTTTCTATAAATAGTGTTTAGATGTACAAGGAAAATATTTAGATCTAGGTCATGGAATATTGAATCATGGACAAGACAAGAAGTATTGATCTTATTAAGGTCAGCAGTGGAAATCAAGAAGATCCGGGAAAAGACAGAAAGAAGATTGAGTTAAACATAATTAATCCATTTGCACATATTGGAACAATAAATCGATGCTATTTAATAACCACAAATAAAATTATATATATTACGAGTAATTATTTATTGTGAAATCGGCTTCAATATATAATCATATTTTTTATTATAATTTATTTAATTTAAAATATATGCTTTCCATCACAAATTAGTAGTTTCTTTCTCATGTACATCATACTTCTCCGTTAGCAACAGAGTCGTCTATGTAACTTCTTTCTGGGGGAATTGTAAATAAAAAATTGTAAACCTATAAATTATCACTGCCTGTATGTCTGTCCTTTTTTTTAATCTTGAGAACGGTGTTAGCTTAGGGGTAGGAAGTCCCGATTAATTAGATCATTTCAATTCAAGAATTTTTCCCCAGAATGGAGTTATATAAATGACTGGCATGACTCTGTTGTTATGAGGAAAAGTATGATGTACAGGGGCAAGACACTAATAATTTGAGATCAAGAGCATATATTTTAAATTAAATAAGTTAAAAATACGATTGACAAGTGCAACCCAGCAAGATGTAATAATAATTTTTGCTAATTTTTTCTGTTATACCTACCCATTTTTTTAAAATGCGAATAGTGCCTTGCTCATTTTTCATAGCCTCAGCTTTTGCACTTATGTAACCAACAGCTGTTTTTATACAGATAATACCCACCAATTTTTCTTTATCAGTCCTACAAAACTTATTCTTTTGCCTTCAGTAACATATTAAACTTGTTCTTTTTTTCTGTGTTTAAAACATTATCGAATTCGTCTTTATATACAAAAACATTAGCAATGTTTAATTTTAAAAATAATTTAAAATATCCAATTAAATAACTACCACAACAATTTTTTATGCTTTACATTTTAAAAATATATTACAGTACGATAGGTAAACACTCTAAAGAGATGGAGCGAAAAATAAACACGAGATAAAATAAAAAAAAATTCTTTGTGAATAATTAATGAGTGGTAGGTAGATAGATGACGTCGTATATGACGTGCGTTACCTAGTGACGGGGTGAACGAACTCTTAAAATCAACAAGTTGCAAACGTGGATTGAAAATGATCTAGCGCATCATTTCAACGTATTTGATGCTATATAAACTAAATATAATCCTATTAAATATCGAGAAATGAGAAATTTAATTATAATTTTATTATTAAATTTATATTCTAATAATATTATTTTTTTTTTATTAAAAGAAATCGATTTTGATAAAATTCTTCTCACGTTATCTAGAGAGAAATTTTGGATCCAATTTATCTGACATATTTTTTTTTATTTACGGATGAACAATTTTTCAACCATTCCAAAAACCTTAAAAAAACAACTTATGAACGGATAAGAATTGAAAAATATCAGGTATTTTATTATTATTTTATTATTTTATTATTTATAATGGTGATGAAATAGTCTCAGAAAGTTGGGTTTATAACTGTAAAGAAACGATATTCCGACACTCTGTTCTTATCAACCTTTCAGAATAAAAGATATTATTCAATGTAACATCTTTTACAATTCGGAGAATGATGAACATCTGCGAAAGCCATTTGCTATAAAACAGGGATTTCTAACGTTTCTTTGAGAAATTCTTATCTTTCGACATATTGGAATTTTCTCTCTATTTGTCACAAAGATATCATCTTTAAATTCTGCTTGGAAAATGGTGAGAAAAAAAATTATAAAAATGATTTTATATAAAATATATTTGATGTAAAATTTCTTATTTCTTAACGAGAATGTAAGGAATTTAACACATTACATAATTTTCTATAGAAGATAAAATCTAACTTAATACTTTAAATCTTTGCAAGCAATAATAATATTAAAAAAAACCTTTATTAAATATCTTAATTTTCTGTAAGGATTAAGAGAAATATAAAATATTAAGGCAATTATTTCTGTAAGGGATAAGTTATTAAAGTATTTATTGATGTAAGTAATAAAATAAATCGACGTATTACAGTAGTTATCTTCGTAAGAATAGAGAAATAGAGCTATTATTACGGTAGGTAATAATAGCTCTTGCAGAAAATTCTTGCAGAAAATTAAGGATTTTAGTAAAGAAGTAAGACTTACTTTACATCCTATAGACAGTTCATTCTATTGTAAGCCTGTATCTTATATAGGATATAGAATATCATTATATCCCATAGTGTAAAGATTATTAAGATAGAAGTTACTTAGAAATTATATTAAATCTAGAATTACAATTGCATATAAAAATTCTTTTGAGCTTTTGGTTCACCGATCTCTAGACTTAAATATTTAATCTTATTTTCAACTTTGATCGAAATTTTGTTATGTTATGGTTAAAAACTAACATCAAGGGAGAGGAAACTCTTCGATTAAAAGTCATAAAAAATAACATTAAAGTAACATTTGTGGTTCCATTTAAAGTTTAACTCTTGGTGAATTCTCATAAGTAAACATGTCTAAAATTTCTTATTTCCTTTAAAAAAAAATGAAAATAAAAAGAATTCTCTTAATAGAAATATACTTAAGTGATATTTTCACTGAATTTACTATAATCATTTTTATACACTAAATTGTGTGTATTTGATATGTTGAGGTTGATGCCAAATAAAATTATTTTACGTATTTAATAATGCATAATTCCTCAATCTATTAGTATATAACACTACAAATTTGATATTTTAATGGATGCAATTATATTTTGTATAAATTTCTCTAAAATAACTTCAATTTTCTTTACAACATCTCATATAGGAAAAAAAAACACGAGATTTCTTTACGTTATGAATTTTTAAGAAAAACAGATTAATTATTAATTTTTATTTAAAAAAAATTAAATATATATTTTTAAACTTTTAGAAGATATTTGTAATAAAATTAATGAGGATACTTCTAGATGTATGACATTTAAAAGTACATCATTAAAAGAAACTTAGTGAAGGATCTTGTAATAAATTCCATACACGTCCACTGTCGAGAAGTATGAACGTGCTTAATAATGATTATTTTTTAATAACTTATTTAAATTAATAATTAGATAGATGAATAAGAACGATTGTAATTACGTAAAATATATCTAATTAATAAATAATAATAACAGAAAAAACTTACGATTTTTCTTATAAAGAAGAATTTCAAATTGATCTTGTAATTGATTATCCAAAGCCATTTCTACTTTTGCAATGGTCGATTTATCAGTTAATTCACCATACATAAAACTACAATGACAGCTCTTTTGCATTACTTCAGCGCGATTGTAACCAGAAATTTTGCAGAAAGTTTCCGAGCAATAAACAATTGGATAATCCACAATCTGAGCGTTTGCGAGAAGAAAACTGCAATCAGCTAAAATTAAAAATAAATAAATAATAAAATAAATAATTTGTAGAGAATATATTTTCATATAAGTAAATTAATATTAAATTTAATTAAATAAAGAATTTATTTTAAAACATTCAACATGTATTCTTTCTCTTCCTTGAAGCACTTGAGCAATTGGAATTTTTGGTTACAGCTTCGGATAATGTTGGAATTTTCCTGAAGCGTTGTTAGTTACAGTTTAATAGATTTGTTTAGATTTAAATGGCTTGAATGTATTCGCGGATAAAATGTAAATGCTCATTAAAATGTTAAAATACAAATTTGTTTTCTGTACTCGTAAGTAATTTAATCGTGAAATGTGAGCCATATTTTAAAGCACTTAAAATTTTATTTTACATTAAATAAATTATGTATATAAAAAAAAACTACTTACAATTTTTGATAAAATATTAAAATGAAGAAAAAAAAATGTAACCTGTATAAAATCATTAAATATTTAAATATATCTGAAAAAATTCTTAATAAGAAAAAAAATAATAAATAAATTAATTAATTAAGCAATTAACGGAATTTTTTAAAATAATTTTTCTGTTCAAAATCTTGTAATAATGAAAATTTTATAGAAGAAAAATTTGTATAAATTGCATTGAAATGTTAAAAAATTGACTGTTAAAAAAGTATAAAAATCAATAAAATCTAAATAAATTAAAGTTTTAACTTAGACATCTGTTTACATATATAATATGTATACATTATATATTAAAATAAAAAACAATATGCTTTTAAAAATGCTGGGAAAGAGACCATCCTCTCCATATAATCATTATGTAGCATTTACACATACATCTATTGAAAGTATCATTTACAAATGTTATTACTAATTAAATTCTACATTTGTTTATGTTTATTGTTCGGTATGAGAAGGATTTGGGGAGGATCCATCCCTAAAACATCATTAACATGCATTATTATCGAACTTAGTTGTTCAAAATTCGAGTTACAAGTTTCGAGAACACCACACAAAGCAAATTAAATAAAATCGTTAAAAGTAATAATAAATATATTTCATTCTAAACATATAATTCAATAATTAATTAAATACCCATATCGAAAAATTATTTAATAAGTTAATTCTTAAGAAATACTATTCAACAGGTAGCTAGCTACCTGTATGAATGATACTTTATAAATAACATTACGGTTAAAAATGTTGGAAAATATTAATATTAATAATTATATACAGTCAAATCTTTATTATAGCCCACTTTTCAACAATGGCCACTTCAGATAGCGGCCATTTTTATGCCCTTGTTTATAGGTTTAACTGTAATATTTTATTCAGTAGATATTCAATAATTTAAAGTTCCTGTACGAATAGAAAAATGTTATTAATAACTGTATATACTTTAAAAAGAACAAGTTATAATAAAATTTCATCATGTAAAAATTCAAAAAAATGAATATAAAATGTTTTCTTCACTAAAAAATTTAATTATTTGTTTGTATAAATGAAGGATATAACTATCGAAATGAAGTTAGTAAAATGTTCATATTCTTCTTATCAACTTATAAAGTTTTATATCATTATAAATACAAATTTCCGAGTGAAACCCTTCAATGTAAATTCGAAAACCATTTCCTTTAATTTATTTTTGGATTTAGATAAGGAAATTGTATATATAACTGTCAGAAACCATCTAAATGAATAGGAATATCAGCATTTTGACGTTAAAATGTTTGACTTTTTACATCATTATTAAGGTTTCTTCATAAGAAATTGTTATAAAATATTTTATTCTTTGTTGTACGGCGAATAATTTATTAATTTTATACATTTAAAATGATATTTTTGCATTTTGAAAGAGCGTACAAATTATTTGAAATACAGATAAAGGGATTTTGAGATCTACCGTTTGTGGAGTTTAACCTTATGGCTGTGAAAATAACCAGAAAAATATACCGTTTATAAATAGCAAAATTTATTATGATTTGTGTAATAAATATTATTGTTTGTACATATTCGTACGGAGGTTATTTTGCAATCAGTCACGTGATCTTCGAGGTATTAAATAATAGGAGCTTCAATATATGATCGATTGAAACAGACCGAAAACAGTACGTTCACGTGATCTGTAGACCCGAGGCTGCAGACGTTATACTACGTCGAGCGACTTTTAAGATAAATTCTAATTTTTCCTAAAGAATTTCTCTGTTAAAAATTGAAAATTTTACATATTTTGTGTATTTAAGATTTCAAAAATTCTATCATTTCCTTTCGAGTTCCCGAGGGATGCATCCACTACTAGTTAGGTAAACTGACACATTTCTATATACATTTATATGTTTTCATTAATTAATAAAGATAAAAATTTTCATAAAGAATTGATAAAGATTAAAAAACGTAATTTTCTATCTTTAAATTGGCTTTACTCGTTATCTGATTGTCTGCACTTCGAGAACTTTGCAGACAACTCGTACGAAATGTCAGCAGCACCCAGTAATATATATATATATATATGTAACACTTTTTCCTGTCAGATACACCTTCCTTAATAGTATCAATCTTTCTACAGTTAAATGATCCATATTGTTAAGGAATATCGATCGAAAGCGAAAAAATCAGTTTAATATATATATATATATAATATAGAAACTCATTCTTAATTTATTTTCTAATGAAATTATATATATATATTCTTCTATTTTTTTAAACAAGATGGCTAATGGCAATTTAGAACAAGTTGCAGACGTACCGACAAACAAGACGTACAAGACGTTGACAATATAAACCATCAATATAAAAGTAATAACCCGTGAAAGAGGAGAAAAAAATAGTTAAAAAAATAAAAGAAAAATGACTTTGTAACTAGATAAAAGTTTAAGTGGATTGCTAATACTTATTCTCTTTTCACCTGTAAATCGACAACAGGTGCATCAGAACGGGAATGCAACAGTTGTGTAGAAAGAGATAAATTTTCTTCTTCAGGTGAAGTACGGGAAATTTATCAACTCGAATCGACTTTCCCTCGATAAAATTAGAAACTACAATGGCTTTTGTGTATGTGAGATGTAGATTAACTATTGATAGAATGGATTTTACAGATACAAGATAGAGCTTATCTCTTAATTAATTAATTAATTAATTATTTTAAAAATATGATAACAACAAAGTAAGGCATTATTTTTACCATTAACCTAATACTTTCCCTGGCTTATAAGAAATAATATTAGAGTCATACAGAAGCTAAGAAAATTAATCTTTATAAATTATCTATCGTGATCTATACTTAAATTTTAATGATTCCAACGAAATAAGATCTTTCTTAAACAAACGTTGCAACCATTATAGACATAGACTTAAGAGTCTAATAGATTAACATCCGTTTTAATAACTTAAAAATAGCATTATAATTTATTTAAAACTTTGCATATTAATTAACGATAATAGAACTTTACTAATTATTAGAAGATATAAATATAATTACTTTAATTAAATAAACTTTTACATAGATCAAGGTTAATTGTCATAATTGTCTAATTAATTTAAATATTTTATTTTTATGTATTATTTGAAACGAATACTGTTTTAGGAAGTTGTTTACAGCATTATTGATTTGTCGAGACACACTTCTTTAACTAGATCTAAAAAAAAACAAAGAACATTTATTGCCCTGTACTTTTCAAAGTACATGTTTTGCCTTTCTCATATTATAATTTATTTTATATTTTATGCTCATATTAAACTGCATCATCACGTAATTATTAGCATTTTAACATTACCATACATATAATTATCTTAATTAAGTTTTAAAAAACATGCCATTTTCTTATATTTTTTGCGCGACTCTAATTTTTTTCATAACTGATTTTATTTACTTTAAAATAAATATTTTTCAATTTTATTTAAAATTATTCTCTAGACCGTCTAGAGAATAAAATATTTCAAAAAAAATAGTGAAATAAATTGATAAAAATATTCTATATTTATGTAGTCTGTTATTGCATTGATTACAAGATTGATTCATTAATTAACACATTGTTAAATACATAATTCTCCATAATTATTCCCATTATGGGTTGGGTTTGACCCTCATGAGATACGAAACAATGCTTCAATATTGTCCACTATTGCCATATTATGCCATAATGCTCCAGTATTAAACAGTATTGCCCATATATAATTATGATAGTCTGGATCGGGTTCGAATCCCCATTTCTTACAGCGCGGTATCTGGATGAAAAACACTACGACAATTTATAGAAATATTCATAAAAGACAAGGAATATCAGATATAAATAAAGAATAATTAATTGTAACTTTTCACAGTTTGTCAAATCAAAATAAATTAAACACAATTACAATTTTTCTATATTAACTTACAGAAAAATTTGCGCCATTTTTAAAATTCAATAAGAGTTAGACTCAGATTTACTCTAAAATGCACTGTATAATAATAATAACCACGAGAGTCCGATGAAAATTTTCTAGGAGGAGCAAAGCGTAGAGACAAATTATTGCATCAATAAATTTTTTATTTAATTTAAGGGGTTTATTCATAAGTAAATTATAAAATATACCATTGCACGAATACAAAAGACAGACAAAACGTCCCATAGCCGAGGGTGTAAGGTTTTACGATTATAATTTGTAGAAATTTTTACTCTATCCCAGAAAAGGGCAAGTGCCCTGTTTGCCCCTCTACGGAAGCCCATGATGATAACAGTAAAACTAAAATGTATCTAACAGATTATAACTAAAATCAATACTTTAATTAAGAAATTCATTTGTTTTTTAAACCAAGAACGTATCATTTTTCGCTCCTTTAATTGGTTGATTATTCTAGAAAACGATTTTCTAGATTTTTCATTTTGGTAAAAAGCGAATAAATCTGAAAAGAAAAATTGAATAGAATATAAAAATATTTAGGGTTTAAAATTTTTTTTTAATCGATATCAATGAAGATTAATGGTTTTTCTTCCGTTTTCCCGATTGATGTTTCAAGAAATCAATCGACCTTCTCAAA